GAAAAACTCCACCCGCGCATTTCTACCCTTCGGGGCGGGGCGCGCAAAAAGGAGGTGTGACAGTACCCGACCTCGAGGACCTCCGTCAAAAGGAGAAGTTAGGCTCCAGAAAGCAAACAACACCTTCGCCAGTCCCGGGGTGATACCCGACCTCGAGGACCTTCATCAGCGAGAAGTCTGGCTCTAAAAGTCCAACAACGTCATTGCCAGTCTCGAGGTGGTACCCGACCTCGAGGACCTCCATCAAAAAGAAGTTAGGCTCCAAGGAAACAAGCACTTAGGCTCCTCCCGTATGGGCTGGCCCCGGGGAACCGTCTGAGATCGAGCAAACCCCCTTTCAGGATCTATCTACAGCGCCTTAAGGCTATTTACACTAAGTTCAAAGCAAGTCTCCAGGTGGTCCGGATTTGAACGAACCTCCACTCGGGGATTGCCCTCGAAATATCAAAGGCAGTCCCTGTCCACGGGCCTCTGAGCAAATTTCTCCCCAAAATTTACCACAAAGCCTAAGTGATAAATCACAGTTTCAAGGTTCGAAGCATTACTTTCATTCAACTCAAAGTAAGGGGCCCGATGATCCGAGTTTATCGGTCTAATTCAGGCTCGACTTCAAGGGACGACGAAGGGTTCCGCAGAAGGTCGTATTAGTCAATCAAAGGTCAGGAAAAACATCCACATCTGGGTTCGACATTGGCAGTAGCCAATAGAATCATGCATTCAGAGTCTCCATAAACGCAAATAAAAGGAAATATAGCAAACATCGAAGACAAAGCTGGGAAAACATCTTTATAATCAGAAAACACTTGATTACAGAAGCCCACAAGGGGTCCTTACATATGATTACAAAAGCTCACAAAGGGTCCTTACACAAAAACAAATAAGCAATAAGGTATGCATATAGTAAAAGCCTAAGAGCCTAACCTACTCTCAAAGGCACATCCTCGGCAGTAACATCTTCGGGCATCATCTCCTCGGGCATATGTCCTCAAAGACAATATCTTCCAAGCACAATCCCCTCGGAAATCTTATCTCTATCCTCCAGAATGGCATCTTCAAAAGGGGAGACGACGAAGAGGAAAGCGATGGAGAAGAGCAAAGTGACGTGGAAGAGGTAGGGAGGAACGAAGAAGTGGCTGGGTGAAAAATCTGGCTAGTATGGATTTCGCCAGGCTATTATTGTAAAGCCACTTCTTGGGACGTTAACCCGGTGCGGGATGCAACAATTAGTAGATAGTACCACCTCACTCCATGGAAAGCAAAAGGGGTGAGGCGCCGCACCGGGTAATCGGGGGAGGTGAGCAGCGATGTATAGTCCGAGCTCCTTCTTAAGCAGCGGTGTAGAGTCCAAAAATTTCCTTGGGTCGGAAGAAATCAGCCCTCTGCTTCATCGTCCCGAACCAATGATGACAGTAACAACAACAATAACAACAAAACAGCGTAATCTCGATCGACCAGAGAAGGTCCAGGGGATAGGTCGTGGTATGACTGATAGAAGTATCGCCATACAATCTTGAGGCCATGGGCCTCAAACATAGTGAACGACAATGAATAAGGATAGTGAGAATGGAAGAATGGATAGATACGGGAAGATACTTGGATGAAAGGTTGATCCCATGAGGCTCCCATTTATAGAAAGGAAGACAGCGTAACCGACGACGCCGTTATCGCCCTAGAAAGATGTAATGGCAGGCGCATTTAATGCGTTCTTGGGAGCTGAATCGGCGACAACATTATGGCTTTGAAGAATGAGAAACCGCAATGCTTTGAATGACCTGGAGAAGCGAAATAACGGGACGTTTTGATAATCACGAAGGCTTGTGTCATCAGTATGATGTCATCACGGGGAGTGCAAAGAGTCGGATGTCAAAATCGTTTCTTATCGCTCATCTCTAAGAAACGCGGGGACTATCTGTATACGGTGAAATCGGAGGGTCCAATTTCTCATCATCGATGCACCTTAGAAGACCATCTCGAAGTCTCGAGGATACAAGGTTATGGTCGAGTTTCCTCCCTCGAGGTTCACCGACGCTCGACCTTGGGATAACGTTGACCGCGACCATAGTAGAAACGGGGAGTTCCCAAGGCACGTGGCTAGGACTGACAGGACTACCCTAGCCCTTAATTAGGATATCTTCTAGCTGTCCCATCTCCGTTTCTTTATCATTAATGTATTTTGTACTATGTTGGGATTCCCCTCCTATATAAAGGGGATCCTTATCATTTTGTAGAGTTGTTGTTGCTTCAGTTGCTCCACATAAAATATAAACATTCTCTTTGCTCTCTAACATATTCTTTGATATTATTGCTCTCATTTATTGTCTTCATTATTGTTCTTCATTTATTGCTTGTCATTGGCCATAAAGAGCCTTCATTGATTTTGTTATAATTGTTAGTCTTACTTCATAGCTCCATGTTGATCTCCGGAATCGACCTCGAGGCCCCGAATCAGCAAGCTCGAGGCCTCGATTATTGACCCATCGGTTCGGTTATTCCCCGATCATTAACTCTCAGTTCATTTCCAAGTCTCACACACATGGCATCAACTGCTTAACAAACTAGCATAAAAATAGATCACGTATTTTTAGAGCCCCATAAACAAATTTAATTGTTATTACCATTTTTACGGTAAACAATATATAAGATAAAATTTGTTTATTACCTTTATATATTATGTTTTGAATCCCTTTGACATATATCAAAACTATAGCTTAGTGGTAAAAGATAGTCGGTTCAATTTTTACTAGCTACAATCTTTTTTGAACTCTTTTTTCTTTTGAAACTCCCTTATTAGAAATCCTGACTCCGATACTGATTATGGCTAACGAAGAAGGAAATGAGGATGTAGAGTCCTCTTAACACGTACGAAATGAATGACTGACGCTATTAATGTTTGTATCAAATCATATTAACTTATGGGGCGAAATTAAAACATGATTTTAGAAGGATAACTTCAAGTACTAATAACTAATTCTAAAATTGATATGCGTACTTACTTAATGAATTTATTAACATAAATATATTGTAGGAACAAAAGATAGTCGATTTGGCCGAACTCATATTTGAGCTTCTACCAACTTATTGTAGTAAAGTATTTTAAGATTATTTTTTCCCCTACAATCTTGGCTAGAAAATGTGTAATTTTTGTGATCTAGGAAATGCGCATTGCCTTGTAAGTCTCATTTTAAACCGCAAATAACACTTTGTGCTGAAAATGGAGATTCGAGCAAACGAAGAAATTCCTATAGGGCAAGACCTCACTCCTCCAATCCCACCCCTTTCTCTCTCCCTCCACCACTCAATTCTCCTTTCTCACTGCTCCTCTTGCTTTTCTCCTCTCCCGCCTTCTCCTTTTTACCCTACATATCCAAACCCAGATCACTTCGTTCGTTACTGTTCCCTTCAATGCTCTTCTCTCGACTCCCCTCTTCACTTCTCCTCTTCAGAATTTCACTTCTTTCACCTTTTCCCACAACCCCTTTACACCACCTCCCCTACTTCCACCGACCTCCGCCTCTCCCTCCGCCTCATCCACCGCTTCCAGGAAGCAAATGTGTCTTTCTCAAATTTGGAAAGAATTGGTGGGTTGATGACAAATTTCAAAAAATTAACTCTATTGGAAGAACAACAGTACTACAATGATGATGATGATGGACTTTCTGGAAGAATTCGTGACGGGGCAAAGGCTATGGCAGTTGCAAGAAGAATGCGAGATGGTTTGGATACTAATGTGGAGTTATCAGCTGCGGAGTATGCTGTTGAAGCTGCAGTGCTCTGCTTGGTGCTGACTAATTCAGTGGAAGTTCATGATAAGGATGGGAGAAGTATAGGAGTTGGTGTTTATGATTTAGCCTTTTCGTATGTCAATCATAGCTGTTCTCCAAATGCTTCTTACAGGTTTTGTACAGCTTTTGATTGTGGTGGAGAATTGGAGTTTAGAATATGTCCAGCACCTTCAGAGACTTGTGCTTCTGGTACCGAAAGTGGATCCATTATTAATGGTAATGTTCTACTGCATTTTCTTTACTAAAGTTTTGGTCTTTTTGAAGTTTTTTTTTGATTGAAACAATATGTGATTCTGTTTTTGCTTTGAATTTGTTGTTTGGTGATGTTAGGAAGTGAAGCATGTGGTCCGAGAATAGTCCTTCGAAGTATAAAGGCAATCCAGAAAAGTGAAGAGGTGTTGATTACATACACTGACTTGCTACAGCCTAAGGTACACTTGTTTCTCTATGTTTTGAATGATTTATATATTATAGGAAGGTTGTTACGTCAGTATCAATAAATGTTTGTGTTTAGTTTGATTCTCATAAGTGGAAAACTTTATATTTACACAATTTGACGGTTATTTTCTGGAACTGTCTTGCTAAGTGATTTGTCCAGATTAAGTTGGTGTGGATGAAGATTTGACTTTTATGGTTCGTAGTTAGAATTGGCATGCCGCATTTTTAAAAAAAAATTTATTTTTGTTACTCCGGTTATCAAGGTAAAGATCTCCCGCATGGTACTCCAGAAATTGATTCTCTTAGAACAGCAAAGAGCAATTATTAAGAATTTTTATATGGTCATTTTACTCCTTTTTTGATTTTAATGTTCACGTCATATGTTAGTAAAAGTGCATACATAACCTTTGGACTCCATGAAATTGTTAACTATAATGTTAAATGATTTATTGGTGGACATATTTTGATATTTGACCTAATTCGGTTGAAAATACTAGAATGATGGAAAATAGATGACTATAACCTCCTAAGTTGAGTGCCTTAGACCCAGAAGCATTCACACTATCTATCTCAAATGGCCAGAAATGGTTGAACAAATTGGAGAAGGTTGTTCTTAAATGGACTTGTGGAAAGGATGTGTGAAAGCCATAATGACACTTGCTTGAACATTGTATACGGTAAAATCGAAGGGTCCAATTCCTCGTCATTAAGGTGTTTTTGAGAAGTCATCTCGAGATCTCGAGGCTGCGAGGTTGCGGTCGAGTTCTCTCCCTCGATGTCCATTTACGCTCGACCCAACGACGATGCTGAGTCCCCAAGGTGAGCAGATAGCACTAGCAGAGCCTGGTGTCACGTCTAGCCATCCCATCTACGTACCTTTACAATTAATGCATTTTGTACTATGTTGGGATTCCCCTCCTATATAAAGGGGATCCTTGCCATTCTGTAATCTCTTGGCTGTTGCTCTAACTATTCTACACGAAATATACAAGAACTCTTTCTTTTCTCTCTAACATATTCTCCTAACACTATTGCTATTGCTTACTACTTTCCTACTTGTTCTTCATTTATTGTTTGTTATTGGCCATAAAGAGCCTCCTTTAATTATATCCTAACTGTTAGCCCCTTCCCGATTATCGCCGATAGCTCGAGCCCGAGCCCAGGCATCGACCTCGAGGCCCCTCATCGGTTAGTCCGAGGCCCGGACAGCTAACCCCTTGGTTTGATTATAACTCTATTTTAGCTCGCATTTCATCTTTTATCTTCACATATCTAGCTCAAACTGCTTTAACAACTAGCATAAAAATAGATCACGTATTTTTAAGTTCCATCAACAAATTTAATTGTTATTACCATTTTCACGGTAAACAGTTTGGCGCCCACCGTGGGGCTAAAAATAATAGTGATTATTTTCTTACTGGTTTCGTTACACAACGCAAGTTATCTTTCATACTTTTTCTTGTATAATATCTTCGATTTCAGGTCAAAATGTTTGGCTCAGTGACCAGAGTTGAGAACGACAACCTTGAAAACCACAGAGAAAACGGTGTGGCTATTCCAATTATTGGCGCGCCACCACAGAACCCCGACAACGGGCCTGGACCGATTCCAGCGTACACGGGTTCGCAAGACGCACAGCAGGTCGACGAAACCTCACACACCAACAAGAGCATACAATATGGCGACCAACAGGAAGCCCAAAAAACCCTAGCTCGGGAAGAACGGGAAGTTAGCCTTCATGTTATTTTTGAAATGTTGCAGGCACAATAATTGGCTATCGCTCAGCTGCAAAGCCACCCGAAGACTCCCAGCATGGTAGCACTGGGGACTGCTCCCCCAGCCGAACAGATACCTGAGAGATCGAGCAACAACGGATCGATAGCCGACCCTGCCATCGTGAAAATGCTCGAAGACCTGACCAAAAGGATCGAATCGGGCGAGAAAATGATAACAACCAACGATAAGAAGGTCGAGACCTACAACTCCAGGATCGACCAGATCCCGGGCGCACCCTCGGTCCGGAAGGGTGTGGATTCGAAGAAGTTCATACAAAGGCCGTTCCACGAAGAAGCGGCCCCGAAACCCATTCCAAAGAAGTTCAAAATGCCGGAACTCCCAAAGTACAACGGGACATCAGACCCCAATGAACACGTTACTGCCTACACTTGCGCGGTAAAGGGCAACGATATAAAGAACGATGAGATCGAGTCCGTATTGCTGAAAAAGTTTGGGGAAACGCTCTCGAAGGGGGCCATGATGTGGTATCACAACTTGGCTCCAAACTCCATAGATTCATTCACCATGCTAGCAGACTCCTTTGTAAAGGCACATGCCGGTGCCATCAAAGTAGCGATGAGGAAGTGCGACGTTTTCAAAATTAAGCAAAGAGAGAACGAGATGCTGCGGGAATTCATGTCCCGCTTTCAAATAGAACGGATGGAGCTACCGCCAGTCTCCGAAGGCTGGGTAGTGCGGGCTTTCACTCATGGTCTGAACGAACGAAGCTCGGTGGCTTCAAAACAATTGAAACAGAATTTGATTGAGTATCCAGCTGTGACCTGGTCGGACGTCCACAACCGGTACCAGTTAAAAATCAGGGCCGAGGATGACCAGTTGGGAGCCCCCTCGGGCTTAGTATACCCAAGCAGGCTCCTGGCAAAGGAACCAAAACCAATCAAAGAAAGATATCAGCCGTACATCGAAGATAGGAGGAATGCCCCGAGGCGCAACCTACCTCGCAACGATCGGAGAATGGATCGAGGACAGGATCCTCGAGGACTCATCAACAGAGCCAGATTCGATAGGAACGCAGGGCCAACGGGTGCATCTCATTTGTCGGAATACAATTTCAACGTCGATGTATCAGACATCGTGTTCGCCATCAGTAAAATCAGAGACGCCAAGTGGCCCAGGCCTATACAATTGGACCCCTCACAAAGGAATCACAACTTAGTGTGCGAGTTTCACAACACACATGGCCATAGGACCGAAACTTGCCACCAACTCCGAGAAGAGGTAGCCCAACTACTTAGCAAAGGGCATCTCCGGGAATTCCTTAGCGATCGAGCCAAAAATCAGTTCCGGGAAAGAGAGGCGACCAAGAAGAACGAGGCAAACGAGCCACAACACGTCATCCACATGATCATGGGAGGCGTTGATGCCCCGCAGGAACCCGTAATGAGAAGGACAAAAATATCCATCACCAGAGAAAAGTGGACCCGAGGATATATTCCCGAGGACGCCCTCACATTCAGCGAAGAAGACACCGAGACCTTGTCTCAACCTCACAATGACGCACTGGTAATCTCTTTCTTTGTAAATTCTTTTCAAATAAAACGTATACTCGTGGATCCAGGTAGCTCGTCCAACATTATCAGGTCGAGGGTGATAGAGCAGCTCGGACTGCTCGACCAAATCGTGCCCACCACTCGGGTCCTCAATGGATTCAACATGGCAAGTGAAACAACGAAAGGAGAAATCATCCTCCCGGTCACCGTGGCCGGCACGACCCAAAACGCCTAATTCCATGTCATTGAAGGAGACATGAGGTATAACGCCTTATTCAGACGGCCATGTATACACTGCATGAGAGCGGTACCATCCACTCTTCACCAAATGATGAAGTTCCCAACAAAGGACAGAATTAAAACCGTCTACTGGGAACAACATGCTGCGAGGGAAATGTTCGTGGTGCATGACGTGGCACCGGCGCTCGCACCTCCTCCCGCAAAAGGGACGAAAGGTAATCGAGCCGCACCCTCGATCAAACCCGATTAAACGAAATAAAGGACCGTACCGCGTCCTCATCTCGAGTGATTGGAACATATCGATTCTCAAAACATCGCCGACGCGTCTCATATCAAGCATGTATCTTTTTTTTGTAAAGAAAGAGGGCTACTTCACGAGCCGCTACTAATAATCGAAAAGGTTCACAGCGAGTTCAGTCTATAGTGACAAAGGGAATGACCATCTCCCTTTTCATTTCGTGTTTCAAACTAACCCTCATGCAGGCGCCCAATCGAATCGGTCAAAACGCTAACCCAGCTCGAAGACCTTAAGGTTTTAAAGCATCCGTTGCACTCTTTTCCTTCGACCAAGTTCTTATCTCGAAAAAGGGTTTTTACCGGCAAGGATTTTAACGAGGCAACATCTGCATGCTACCTAAGGGAAACTCAAGAAACACCCTGGAAGCCACCCGCTCGAAAAAACCAAGAAATGCCGAACGGGTTCCCTATAGGAAAGTAATGTACCAGGCCAAACAGTCAAACGAACCGTGTCCATATAGCCGGGCCCCCGACGACGTGTATCAAATAATCAAAGAACATCTTTTGTCAAGGCATCTCGTGCTCCAAAAGAGACTCGGCACCTTCGCAAGAATAATTCCTCCGCCGGAAACGTCCTGAATGCTCGGGGACTGGTGTCAACAATTCAACACTTAAATGTCCTCCGGGTCGGGACTCCGAAATCGTAAGCCCTCAGGTAAGGCAACACGGAAATCGCTAAACATCTCCAACGCCAAAAGCACCTCGAGTACTCGGGGACTGGCGTCAAAATCTCAAAAGAAAAGCACACGACCTCAGGGTCGGGATCTCCAAAATCGTAAGCCCTCGACGAGGCAATGTGAAACTTACAAATAACGGCTCCCGAGTCAGGAAACTCTCGACGACTCGGGGACTGCCGTCAAAATGCCACCTCCATTGACTCATCAAAACACGAGGCCATAAGACCCCGAGCGGGCAGACTCGGTCCCGTAAGACCTACATAAGGCAGCAACTATATCTGTAAGACCTCAACAGGCATGATAAGACCTCAACGACATGAATAACCTGTAAGACCTCAATGGCATGAAAATACTGTAAGACCTCAATGACATGAAAAAACTGTAAGACCTCAACGGCATGAAAAAGCTGTAAGACCTCAACGACATGAAAAAACTGTAAGACCTCAACGGCATGAAAAACCTGTAAGACTTCAACAGACATGAAAAACCTGTAAGACCTCGTCGTCATGAAAATTTTGTAAGACCTTACTACAGGCATAAAACTCGATCCCGAAGTTTAGGTTATATATCAAATTTGTAAGACCCTTAAAAAGGCATACCCTCGATATAGACGCCCAAACTATTATACTCGGGACCAAAAATGGCTTCGGCCAAACACAAATGACTACGGTCATACGGCTGTACCAACCGAATTAACGCGACTCGGGGACGCCCGACCGTCGCTACAAAATCATAGGCCATTACTTCGAATCTACTTCGAAAAGAACCGGTTAAACAGGCTACCCTCGACAGGCAAAAGTGCTTCGACCATGTCAGCTCCAAATCACAAGGCTTTTAGCTACTCAGCCTACGAGCCAAACCTCCCGAGGTGCTCGAACATCGCTGCAAACGACCTGAAATCGAGGTTCTTCCCGAACCGACGACGGGTCAGGCAAAATCATTTCAAAAAGTTCTTAACGAGAGGAAAACAAAGCCTACATATGCCTAAGGGCAAAGCGTAAGAGCCATTGTCGCCAGCCTAATGAGCCTCAGGGTCACACACACTAAACGGTCGCATCACTCAAAAGTGTAAGAGCCACTGTCGCCAGCTTAAATTTGAAAGCTTGAGGGTCAAAATGAGCTCAAGTCGTAACCCGATTCGGAGACCGGATCCAAAATAGCTAACTATCCATGCCTAAGGGCAAAGCGTAAGAGCCATTGTCGCCAGCTTAATGAGCCTCAGAGCCGGGCATATAAAAGGTCGCTTCGACCCAAGGCGTAAGGGCCATTGTCGCCAACCGAAAGAGCCCCGCGGCCACGTCACTACCCTGAGGATTCCTACCAACGCAACCAGCTCGCCCGACCAAGATCAGGGCAGAGAAAGATGCGAAAGGAGTAAAGCCGTAGGGTTTTCTTTCATACACATGCAAGAGATGCAACCTCCAGCTACAAACATGCTTTGGAAATGTTACGTACAGGTGACAAAATCTATGCCCTCCCCCTGGGGGCTATGGCCTGCCGGTCCCATCCTCACTTTCCTCGGCATCGGGCGAAAGCAATCGAGCATCACGCTCATCCGCTTTTGCTAGCGCCAGCTCCTCCGAGAGGGCGAAACCCCTATCAAGGGTCTCCTCGAGGGTCTTTCTTTAAGACTTGCAACGAGCATATTCTTCAATCCTCCCTTCGTGACCGAGGATCCTTTTCAGCTCGGCTTAAGCATCGGCAACATCCTTTGAATAGATCGTCATCTCCTGGTGAGCCTCAGTCCGGCTCATTGCAACTTCTGCCCGGGCATCAATGACCTCAGCCCC